CTCTATAACTATTCTCATTTTGATGAATATTTTTGTTATTTTAATCTTTCATAGATTGTTACCATTACAAATGGTGTTGCTATGAGTTTTGTTGTATGCCTTTGGTGAACACTTGTAAGGATTTTCTTCTAGGTATTTACCAAGGAGACAAATCACTGTGATAATAGATTATATGAATATTCACTCTTACATGATCATATCAAACTGCTTTCCAAAGTGGTTGTACCAGTTTACACTCAACACCAGAGTTTAAAAGAGCCTGTTTGTATTTCAACATTTGGTATCATAGAGTTGTTAATTTTTGCCAATTACATTGCTTTAAACACAACCTTACTTTGGGTTTTATTCACTTAATCCAATATTACTAAAGACTTTGAGCATCTCATCATATATTTAATGATTACATGTGTTTCTTCATATATATTTATTTTTAGTGGGAGTGCCATGTTGTTTTTAGGCCTAGTGCTATATCTTAGTACATTCAGTCTGAGTTACAAAAGACTGGGAACTCTTTTCCATTTCTTTGGATTCTCTCAAATAGTATCCACAAAAGTGTTCTGCCAGCAGAATTTTCCTCCATAAGATGAATGGCTTCTATGACTTCCTGTGTCTTCTCAATTGGAAAGCCTATAGGAAGATTTAAAGTTTACATGGTGCTTTGCTGGGCACAAAACAATGATAAGTACACATTACCTAATTCCTTCTTTTAGGAACTTGAAATCTTGAAGAGACAGTCACATTGATTTAAACCCTCACCATTTTGTTTGCCACTTCTTCATTTATTTTTCTACTTTCAAGTTTTGTTTCATTCTGGCCAAAATGAAGGCATGATGTAATTTACAGTAACAACTCTCAAACATTTAAAACAATATTAACAAAAATGTTCAATATATTAATAATAGCTAAAATTTCAATAGTAAAGAATATGTAAAAAAATATTGATTTGGCCTATCAGATGTGATTATGTCGGCAGGCAAACTTTTCAACTTCCTGTTGGACTATGTGCTTTTCAGATGCAGTCTCTGTCTGCCTACTTTCAAATCAGTGACTGAAGATGTATACCACATCCAGGATTCCTAAATTATACTTCAATTTGAGACTTTACAGAATCTAACTTCAAAGCTCCTCTGAAGAGCTTTGTGGGTTACCCAGCTTCAAAGTGTACTTGAGATTATTTAACATCATTAAACAGAACAATCTAAGAGACAAAGACACAGGCTAAAGTCAAAGCAATTTTAAAGACATCATAAATCATTGTCTTTGCTATTACTTTTCTTCTCATCTTACTTAAAACTGTCACCCTTACCCAATCAGATGCATGTCCAAAGTATGTGTGTTTTGGGGGAAACTTTGTACTCAAAACTTGGCCTTATCATTTCCTGAGATTTTCTCATTTTGTCTTAAGTGTTCCTTGATATTTCTGGCTCCAGGATATTGGCTAAGCACGTGAATTCCTCTTTAAACAAACACAATAGCCTATTTCCAAAAGTCATACTATGAGGCACAGCTGTCACAACATCTGACAAATATTCACAGCCAAGGATATGACCTAGCAAGACTGAATGCACTTTCTCATTTTTCTCATATTTTCACAGTTATCTCTCCTTCATTCGGAAGCATTTGTCAACCTGCCTCTAGCCATGGCAACCCTTCTTATTTTAATGTCCTCACTCTTACACACAAACTAAATTTACATTTCTTGCTGTTATAAATTTTATATTTTTGTGTGTGGAGAAACATTCCATCAAGAAGACTGAAGCCCACTAAACTCCCAAAGACAAGACTTCAGAAGGTAAAGCACTCCCTTCCTTCATAGACTAGCAAAGATGAGAACAGATAAAAATAAAAGTAAATAAGAAAAGGTTTTACATCAGTCTGTGAAGTTACTCTGTCTATTCTCATCTCTCTATCAAAGAGCCCTGGTAGAGGACTGAGGATATCAATAAGCTCTATGGCTTGAGTCTAACTCTGCAAATGTATTTTCGGTAATGTGAATTTATTGTGTATAGAATATAAAAAAATAAGTACAATATGACACTCAAATTATATATGTTATATACAATTATACATATGTTATATATAATTATACAATTATATATACACACACATATATGTGTATATATTTAACTGGATTCTATTTTAGATGTGTTTTTCAATTAGTTAAAATTCCAGAAATATACAACATAAAAATATCTTAAAAGTCATTTGCCCCGTCCTCGATTGATAAGTAGAATAACCATAGAATTTATTATCTAAACATACGTACTCTTGGAAATGAAAAAGGATACTACTACTAATTAGGCAGATACAACAGGTATTAGCAGGAACTATGACAGACAATGAAGGGTTAATCGTCATCCTAGTCTTAAGACAAAGATTGCATAAATGGTTTGGGCTCATGCATTGGAAGTGCTACACAACATCAGAAACCAGGTTTCCTAGTGTCTCATTAAGAACACATTGTAACAGAGAAGTTAGCTAGCTCCTGGTCTTTCAGTCTGAAATATGCATTGATCATTTTGCCCAAGGTCTGAAGACAAGTCGCATCAAACCACTGACCTAAGAAAAATGGAATTAATGTTGCAACTGCATTCTCCTAACTTCCCACTGGACTTGAGATGGTAAAGGATGCTGACAGCATGCTTTCCCCTCGGGCAAACCAAACCAGGGTGACATGATCCACTTTGACTTGGCCAACTTGTCAATGAGAGGCATGATGACCTTCTGCACATATGTACTCATCTCATGAACTCCCTGGGTGCACAGAGGTTGTGTCCTGCCTCTGATTCAGGGAGGAATGACCATTTGAGGTTGTTTTTCATCAATAATTATCCTGGTTGCTCTATTTAGCACTCTGGTGTCTACAAAACATGTTTGCTATTCTTGCTTATTTTGTCTTTAGTTTAGCGTATACGGAATACCTGTTGGGTACAGAAATATGCTAGGGGATATTACATATATTACTGTGATTTATTGTGTATTAAGATTTGAATAATTTCTCCTCCAGGTGAGTCAGAAAAATTTGTTTTGTATCTTATAGACTGCTTGCTTCACTATGGGTCCTAAGGTTACATAGGAAGCCTTCTGCCAGACACTTTCTGCCGGGTTTCCAACAGTGGGAGAAAGATTTATTAAGATTGCTGTTTAAGAAATACTCCTCTAATATTTGCATCTTCACTCACAAAAAAAAAAAAAAGCAAAAAATGAAATTCCCGCCGTATTTCAGTCCTCCCATTTCAGAACAGTGAAGACATTCCAATTTGTTCAAATATACTTTACCGAAGGAAATTTGTAGAGGAAGATTCCAGAGTGAGTCCGGTTCTTATTGACAAATATCTGTTGAAGAATTACATGGGTGGAGCCCTTCGCTAGGTCTTATAGGTCTCCTTGCTCAAGGGAAGATTAAAATCTGTGAGAAGGAATAATTCAAGGACACAAATGACTTTGTCGTAAGGATGAGGCAAGTTGTAGCATAATAAAATTCAAAAGATTATATTAGAAGTTTAAAGTAGTAAGAAGGAGACAGAAACTTTTCATGGGGAAAATGATATTTAAGGTGGGATTTGAAGAGATGACAAAGTTGTGACTTAGACAAATAGAAAGCAAATATTTTCCTGGTAGAAAAAAAAAATAATATGAGTTTCAGCATGGAAACAGGAAAATATCCAAAAGATTATGATGAGGGAATATTCAAAGTTCACCTTAGCTGGAATTTGGGGACAAAAAAGAAATAATACAAGATTAACAACAGCTTAGATGATTCTAAATTCCTTCTCAGGAGAAATCAAAAGGCTATATATTAGTATATTCAAAAGCAATGCTAATTTTTAATAAAAGACAACTTCTAAAATATGAGGCTTTGTTCTTTTTAAAGCTCTGTTATGCACATTATTTCACATAATTTTCATAATGTATCTGTGCTATAGATAAGACAGTTACTCTTTCCATTTTATGGGTTGAATAACTGAGATAAACAGAGGTTTATTGCTAACCTGGTGGGCAGGTAGATACCCTCTCTTCCCTTCTCTCTCCTACCAGAAGCAAAGTGCTTGGTCAAAGAGCAATACCTTTCTACACGCAGGAGGTTTTCTTTCCTGTTGAGATTTTATTTGAGTTTTGAAAGTGGGACAATGTTTTTGTCAGGAAACTTCAGTGGATGAAACCACTGCTTCAACCCTGCTAATAAGGCTGCTGCACTCAAACTGTGAGCAAAACCTTGCCAACTCCAAACTGCTGCTGCTCTGCAATCTCATCAGTCCACCTGCCGTGCACCTTGCGCTTTAGTCCCAACTCCTAGGCCCAATCAACTGAATATCTGCTTTGGCTTCGGGTCTTGGCCTCTGATACACTGTCACTGCTGCCTACTGTCCTCATTGCCATCTCTAGGCCCAGCATCCAGAGCCCTAATGCAACTGACCAGCTTCTGGGCTGGCAGACACCATTGTGCAGATGGGGTCAGTATGAATGTCCAAGTGGCAAATCAAAGTAAATGCAGATGGGAACACAAGATGTAGATCAGAGCCATGAATCCAAATAAGATGGGGGTTTAAATAAAACTGCTAATTAGTGACCTTGGAAACATTCTCATTGGCTAAATAATAAATACAAATTCATCTGAGTTGGTTTTACTAGTAAATTCAGTTCAAGGGCTATGCTGAGATGCAGTGGATTCAGCTGGTTTTTATCCCTGAGGGTCATATGGAGGTATATGAAACAGTAGGTCCATGCATTATTGGCATGTGATTAGCATGCAATTTACTCTCTTCTACCTAGACTCTGCAGTCTATTCTCAGTCTCTTTTCAAGTAAAAATTTCTATATATTTTTTCTTTCACGATGATCCTATTTATTTCTTCCTAAATTTTTTTCTTTTATTCCACTGAAATCTTAACAGAAATACTCAGAGAGAAAAATACATTACAGAATCAGCATCCTACACAGCTAAACCTCCTAGATTTAAATCAGTGAGAACTATGAACGTTCTGAGCTTTCCGAATTGCCTCTTCCCTGAATCTATTCAGAGAACATCCATAAAAGGACCTGCTAGTCTCCCGGAGCAGAAAATATACTACTTTTGAATAGGAATATCTAGGTTTGAGTTCTGGTTCCCCATTTCAAGCAAGTGAGTGAACTTCTCTGAGTCTCAATTGTCCTTGATAATTAAATGAGAAGAACAATGATTGTCTTGTGGTCCTCACATGGTGGTTGTTAGGATCAAATGAGACAGGCCATGCACATGGTGAGTACTGATACTGTATTTAATTTTTTTTTGGTATTTTGCTCATTTGAAATTTTGCCTTGATTTTTATTTTTAGAAATATTGCATTAAAATATTCATATTGTTTACTGAGTTTTTCCTGCCCCTTAAATTTTGCTCTTGAAGTGAATGCTTCACTGGTATCACTTTAGTTCTCAGATTGGGCAAGTACCATAGTAAAGGATTTAGCCAGCCAGGTACTGCTGGAGAAGAATCGTTGACGAGAACTACCCAATGCATGGGGTATCTAAGTCAGTTTAGAGGAATCAGTGGCACGCTTGGACATTCTGAAAGAAATCTTGACTCTATACCTTTGTTAACTCTGAATCTCTCTGTGAGAAATTCCTATTTCCCTTGGTCCCCCATTGCCCATGAGAATTCAGTGCCAGCTCCTTAGCCTAACTTCCAAAATCCATTATCCCTCTGCTGTTCACTTAGTATTAATTCTTAAATCTACAATCGATCTAGCATTTCAGTTAATCATGACTACTATTTAGACAGCCTACTCTTATTTCAGTTTCCAATTTTCCAACTCCCTTCTTCTTCCTTCCTAGAATTCTGTTTTCCTATTCAGCAGAGAAGCATTTATGAGTCACAAACTTAAAATGAATCCTTACTTTTCTGCTAGGTCTTCCCAGTCAGTTTCAGCCAAAGATGACCTCCCTTCACAAGATCCACAGTGAACACTGCCTCACTGTGTAAAAACTAAATATATCAAGTTTCTATCTCTGCTTAATTTCTGTCTATATTCTACTTTATTTATTTATTTTTCTCCAACATACTGCTAAAATTTCAAAGGGTGAAAGACATACGTTTAAATTCCCCCCAATAAGTTGTTACCAGTATTATACACAATTGAATTAATAAATATGGAAATACACTTCCTCCCTCTATATACACATTTAGTCACTCCCACAAACACTTTTTCTCTGTTTGTAAAGGTTCATAGCACTCCTATATTTCAAGCCATGTAATACATATCATATAATTTCTATCATTTACTTTAAGGCATGGTAATTTCTTGTCCTAAAATACTTCTAGTAGTTTCTTGTGAATAAGTTGATTTCACTAAGTGGATGATTACCTTTTCTGTGCAGGAAATTTGATGTCCTCTTCTTTTCTGTCAGCTCTTAGGAATATCTACTGAAAACTATTGGAATTTCTGACAACATGCAGCTCAAACTCCTGACAATTATGACTGACATAGAAAACATACTTATACGTATTTTACATATATTTATTTGTTTTCATAACATATTCATTTCACATATGCATAGAATACAAATAGATAAAAATTCCCATTTCCTCTTTGTTTTGGGTTGTGGAAGCAGGCAGGTATGGTCAAGAGCGACACTGGAAGATGGAAGTTACTTCCAGTGTTCTAGTTGCTGGAGTAGCCAGGGCTTCACAGGTATTAATTATGAAGCAGGATATTTCCCTAACCCCTCCTTGGGACTCGCAACAGGGCTACCTCGTTTACTCAGCCTGCTGCTCTCAAATCCTTGTGGAAGTGACTGCACGAGCGAATAAGGTGGGAACTGGAGTACATGAGCATTGGAACTGGCTGGGCGTTTCAATGTGCCTGTGGGATCCAACTCCACTCATTCAGACTCGCTGCGTTCCACCCCTCCGGAGGGAGAACGCTGGTGAGCGGGTGCAGGAACTGTAGCAAGTACTTTTGGGCGCCAGCAGAAGTGAATTTGCGAGCCCCGTGGCAGTGTCTAGGTGGGGGTGCCTGTGACCTCCGAAGCCCCAGAGGGAATGTTACAGTGCTCTTTTAGCTCTGCCATCTGCAGAGGTCTTTAGTGTTAGCAGCTCAGTTGGCCCTCTGCCTTTTCACGTGAGGTGGCTGCTTTTTGCCAGCAAGAGCAAAGGGCCAGTGTAACAGCCTTTTGTATCTACACCTGTGGCTCCCAAGCTCTTGTCCAGCACCCAGGAAAAATGAGGTCACACAAACAAATTGAAGGATGGTAAATGCAGGGGATTTTATTACTGATGAAAGGGCTCTCAGTGGGAAGGGGAGCTTATAAGGGGATGGGGTGGGTAGATAATCTTCCTTTGAATTCTGGCCATATCCAGCAGATTCCTCTCCAAAGTTATGCCATCAAGATGTCCCTCTGAAGTCAACCCACTTCTCTCCAACGTTCAGATGTAGTCGTTCCATCTACTGTTTGAGTCTGGGGTTTTCATAGGCACAGGATGGGATGGGATGGGGTCATGGGTGGTTTAGGAGAAACAAACATTTGAGCAGGAAAACAGGGATATAACTTCGTGCTTTGGACTGTGGTTTCATGCTTTTCAGCTTGAAGGTTGGGTTTCATCAAAGACCCACCCTTTTCTGCCTAGAATTTCTCTGCCTCCTGTCCCTATAAATTATATTACTGAATAAATACATAAATACTTTTATTATAGTTCTATAATTAGAGCATTTCAACGGTTCAGCTCATAACATGAAAATATTACTAAATATTGCAATGTCATGGAAATGACAAGAGCTGTTACCCAATGTCATATTTTTTCCAGAATTGTCACAGGTGGTTTCCTTTGACCCTTGAAACACTCCCGGGACCCAGTGTTTATCTTATAGGTAAGGAAACTGAGACTCAAAAAGAATTGAAGTGACTCAATTAAAGTCAAAGGACTAGTCCCAGAATAAGAGCTGATTAAAAGTTTTCTGAAGTTCATTTTCCAACACCTTTAAGCCATCTCTGAAGAAAACATCCTAGGTTGTTTTTTATGAAACCTTGAATTAAGAAGGGTTTAATGTTTTGATAACTATGGCTCATACAGAAAACAAAAACAAAAAGTGTCGTTAACTTTTTCATAGCTATTATATGCAAAGTTCATCTATGTTTGAGGAACTTATCCTTTAAACTTGATTAAACATTTAGAAGTTAATCAATTTAAAATTTAAAATTCACTGAGAATTTTCTTGAACCATGTATATAGTTGCTCAATGAATATTATTGGTTAAAATAATTTTCTGACATAGACAAGGTATGGACTGGAAAACTTAGAAAGATATATCTTTCCTTCATATTTGCTTCTTTTTAATGTTCTATTTACAGGCTATAAACTCACAGGAAATATTTTGAAATTTTATAACACTCATAGTAAAAGCTATCTCATAAGCTATGCTCACTTTTGTTCAAATTTTACCCAGAAGAAAAAGCATGGGCGTGGTGGGCATTGGTAAATTTCATCTGTAATTAAACTTCAAAAAATATATTACTTTCAAGCCAGAAAATGATCTCAACAACAGAATAATTCAGGGACTGTGGTGATGGGGGCCAATTTGTCAAGCCTATCATTGTTTCCAGGCATTATTTGTGTCAGGTTTATCTCTGACTTCCTTACAAATCATTTTTTTCTGACTCCATGAATTCCTGTGAAATTACTCTTCCAGAAAGAAAATATGATTTGCTACAATTAGGTGATAACCTCAGTTTAACACCAAATATGAAGAGAAAAAGACTAAAAGAGAAATTCTCTTGAAAAAAAATTTCCTTCCACTGCACTATCTTAAAGTATGCAACTTTTAATTGAAGTTTTCCTCCCCTAATGCATTCACCTGTCATATCAGTGTTCTCCTTTTTGTTTATCTTTTCAGGCAAACTGTTAACTGAACCAGTGGTGTGCTGGGTATACTGGCTTAAAAGCCCCATTTTTTAAATTGTCAGGAATTTTGAAAGTCAGTTATTAAACAAAGCTATTATTAAGAATAAAATTCCATGTACTTATTAAATGCATTATATTAGAAACCAAAAAAAATGGATAATACACGTCTTACTGTATATTTTATTATATTGAATATTATCTTTGCTTTTGAGGATAGTTTTGTTTAGTCTGTCTGCTGAGTGGAAGTATGGCATCATGATGGCTACTGCGCATCTATTCCCAACCCCATATTCAGTTGTTTCATGTGATCTCTTGAAATCCATGGAAAGTAGAAAATACTACAAATAAAGGCTTGATTTATTGTTTTGTTGTCTTGACTTAAGAAACTGATTGACAAAGTGTTATTAATGCAGATTAAACTTAGATATGTTTATCTCAGTGGCCTTTATATTGTGAATACCACAAAAACTTAGCAAATATTTTTCTAGTGTCTGAAAAGTATTATCCAATTCAGCAAATAATGTTACTTTTAAGTGAATGAAGTATGGGCATGCCTTCATTGCTTTAGTTTCTTATTACTTGTAAACACACACAAGTATAGCAACCTAAAATTTATGCTCAAATTATACTCAGTAGTCAATTACAATACAGATTAGCCTTGGCTGTAAGAGATCAGCAAAAATCACCAAAGCATTTCAGGCTTATCAATTGGCTTTATGAAATTTTCAATGTGCATTGTGTGTTTTGTTATTATTTTAAAATTGTGCTATATTTTTTAACTTTAAAACTTACAACACAAATATGTAAGTATATATGTATATACACATGCATACACACACACACACACACACACACAAGGGTTTTGGGGGTAGGAGGAGACAAACCAGAAGTTAAACAGTTGCCAGCACATCACTGCTGATAACTAAGCTGCTACTGTATAAAAAATGCTTAGTAATACGTGTCCCACACACTGCCCATGTATTTTGATTTGGAATAGTGAGTACTTTATGCCACAAAAGATTTCATATTATAGAGGTTTCTGGGTGAAAACATATTTTAAAAAGTGCCTATCATTGATGGTAGGATTAGAGACCTTTTTAGATACCCTTAAATCAGACCTGATAAAATTTGACTACCCACATGTTTTTTATCTAGTAACAGAGGATCAATAAAAAGTTTATAATTTGCTAGAATTTCTTGGACAACAAACAAAAGATAGTTTGAGTCCCAGGTTAGTTTATATTTATATTTTAAACATTGACAACTCATTTTACTTCTCTGAAAATGCAAAATAAAGAAATACACTATTTTACCAGTTCTCAAACGTAACTGCATATCAAAATCACCTCCCAAACTATTCAGAT